CCCTTAACAAAATCGATTGACAGAGTGACTGTAACAATGGCTCAAGTATGGTGGAAGTGAGTTTGATGTAAGCTAGGACAAGGTTTCCATCTATTGTTCATACAGTTGCTATGTGCTGTAGTCAACTCAACACCACATAACAACTCAACAACTGAGATATTTAACTTCTATAATTATGTTAACTGATTCTTTTTCTTCATGCATTGCAAGCCTCAGTTTCCAAGTTAGTAAAATGGTGATAAACAGGAGATTTTGTGGTACCCATTCTACATCCACTTCAGTAATAGTTGTGAGAGTGAAAGACAAGAGAATGAACAATGAAATGAGAATTACAGGGAGGAAGTGGGAGAAAAGTATGATTACAATGTGGGTATTATAATTAGTGTTCTAAAGCAAAATGTGTATGAATGGTTGAATTAGAAACCAATTTGCTTTGTAAACTTTCATACAAATCACAATCTGAAAAAAAAAGTAAGAATTAACATTCAAAGTTAAAATTACCATTTAAGTGTCTTTTATTCCCTAAGATTCTTAAAACTAACTTTGTCAAATGCCATACTCTTTACTGAAATTGAAAACAAAGCATGTGGCCACTAATCACACACATTCTGTCCACCCTGTAGATAGGAGAGGCAGCTGCAATATAGCAGAAAAATACTGGCCATAACCTCTATCCTTGATGAAGGTATTGACCTAGTGTCTATCTGTGAATTTCAGTTACTAAATCTGTAAAAAGAAAATCATGTCTCTCAGGGTTGTTATGGAAATGGAATATGTTCATAAACATCAATTAACTTTTATATTTTATTTCAAAATATCACTATCAAGTTGTATTTTCTTAATTATTTGCAGGTAGCTATTCAACCTTTGCAGGTATTTTAATGTCGTTCCACTTTATTTTCATCATTCTCTCTTCTGGTGACTTTACATCTCTTCTCTTGTTGTTGTCAGGTGCCCTGGAGTTGACCACAACTTGGAGCAGACCTATAAACAACAAACTGAAACTTTTTTCTATCCTGTGCCATCCTCACAATCTCTGTTATCACCAAGTCCATTGTAGAAATTGAGGTATTTCTCTGAAAACCATTCATTATTCCGGTAGCTTTCTAAGTATCAGTAGGGACTCATACTACTAATCCAAATGTTATTACTTTCTGGTAGACCAAATCATCCACATCTCTGAAGTAGGTAGATGGGTAATCTCCTTCCTTGTGATTTACATCCTCAGAAGTTCAATGCAGGGTAACGTATGAGTTGGTTCTGACTCTAAAACAATGTGTTTTGAGGGTTTTTACTAACTTTCAGAGCTATATGCCTCATCTCAGTTACTTCTCTAAACCAAACCAAAATTAAACTCATTGCTGCTAAAGCAATTTTGACTCATAATGACCTCACACATGTCAGAATAGAACTGTACATCACACATCTCCAGTAGCTTTAGTCTTAAGAAAATAGGTCAGCAGGTCCTTCTTTGACAGTACTGTTCTATTAATTAGTTATTAATTAACTAATTAATAATTGGTGTTCCATTACTTCATTAATTCAGACCACTAGCATTTCTGTTAGTAGCTGAGGGGACACTATCTCTGCCACTCTTGGACCTATTCTTCTGGACAATTCTGTCAAAATCAAGACGCATCTCCATTAAACGAGAAGAGTTCCCCATGCTTCTCAGTAAGAGGAAGATCCCGGATTCAAACTCACACTTATTTGCCTCTAAAGCAGAGCTCATTTTTCTCCTTCTTCTTCTTGTCTGTCTCTCCACAGAATTCTCTAGGAACTGTAAGAAGTCTTAAATCCTTGTGATCTAAGATGAATTCCATATTTATGTAGAAACACTAGTCAAGCCCATGACTAGATTAGACTTCTACACAGGAATTGTATGCCTGTTCTTCAGTCTTGTTTTTTTCTATGCAAGACAGCAGACCACTGTTAAATTGTAATAATAATAATAATGATTTGTGCTGATGCAAGCCCTTTCTCAGGTGAACCTAAGGACTTTGCAGGCATTTATAAAGCTTCAGAGCATCTTGATTCTTTAAGGTCAAGACTGTACCAATTTTAGAGAGAGAGAAACTGAGATAATGACTCTGTAAAGCACAGAATCAAGACAGTTTATTAGTCAGAAAAACCTCAGAAGAAAATGATAAGAAGTCAGCACCTAGACAACTGAAACAATATTTAGATAAGAGTCTTTGTCAGAGAAAACATTGGCTTTGAAGTCAATAGACATACATTTTGGGCCTAATCTTTCCACTTTCTATCAGAGTAAATAGAGTCAAGGACTTTTTGTTTCTCATTGACCGCCTATGTGAGAAAATCAAACCAAATCAAGTTGACAGTCATCAAATTTATTCTGACTCATAGACACCAAGGAGTTGCTAATCTCTGATTTACCTAGTCCACGACTTTCATGTTTTTACCGTACTTAAGAAAAATCTAGAGTCTAAAAGTCTAGATGGTATAAATGATTAATGCATTTGGCTACTAACCAAAACACAGAATGTACAAGTCCATTCATAGACACTCCAGAAGAAAGACCTGGTGGTATACTCTCAAAATATCATCCATTGACGACTCTACTTTGGCATGAACAGAGTTACCATGAACTGTAATTTATTCAACAGCAACTCGCTAAACAATTCTTCATGGACTGGTCCCACTGGATATTTTAGAATCACCTGGAGGGGAGAAGTTGTTAATAAAACTAATATTACCAGTGATTTAAATGTAACAGATCTGATATTGACTCAGGATTGTTGTTGTTAGGTGCTATTGAGCTGATCATGAAAAATAGTGACTCTATTAACAACACAGCTGAACCTATCTTATTCCACACCATCCTCACAGTCTGTGGCACACTCAAGCACATTTCTGCCTTCACTATGTCATTCAACCTAGTTAAGGGTCTTCATCTTTTGCACTTTCCCTTTACCCTTCCAAGGATGATGTCCTTCTACAAGGAATAAACTCTCTTAGCAACAGCCAAACCAAAATTAAACAAAATTTAACAGCCAAAATTTAACAAGCATGAAATTAATATGCATTAAAAAATACAAAAATAAAAAAAAAGATGCATTAATGACTGGAATGCAAAAATTGGAAACAAGGAAGAAGAAAACGTAGAATGTACGGAATTAGTGGCAGAAATGAGACACAAAATAGAATAACCAATGTTTGTACATTCAATGATTTATTCATCTCTAATACCTATTTTAAAATCAGAAACAAGTATGGGAGTAGCATGTCTCGAGGAGGAGCAAAAAGCAGCAAGCCACAGCAGGGAGGAGTGAGCCATGGAGGGGAGCAGAGACCCACAGTGGGGAGCAGCATGCTATGGTGGGAACCATCCACCAGGAGCAAGGAGGATAGCAGGAATTTCAGTGAAGTACTTAGGAGGAGGATCATTGTTGATTGTTGGACCATGTGGGACTCCTTCACCTTAAACAGAAGGAAGTGAGACAACTGGAACTCAACTGAGGTGGCAGACTCAGTTCTTAAAGAAAAAATCAAGGCTTTCTGGTTTTCCATTCAGGTTTCCACACATGCCTCCCCACCCACCCACGTGAATCTGTGTGCACCCACCCACCTGCCCCCACGTATGTTTGTGTGTGGACCAACCCTAAATGTATTCACTTGCACACCCACCTAATCCTCTTTTGGCGCAGTGACTTCAGATCAAGAACCAGCTATCTACTCAGGCATAAAAAACTCCAGCACAGCAATGTCATGAAAGAAGGCTACATCACAGCACAAGCACAAAGCAAGATATCACCCTCAAAAAGTGACACAATGTCAATGGATTTCCTGAAGCCAGAAAGTCTGATAGAACTTTCTGACTCAGAATTTAAAAGAACAGTGATTGAATATGTTCAATGAGTGAAAGAAAAACTTGAAGAATTACAGGACAATGCATGCAAAAACCAGGAGGATCTGAAAAAAAAAAAAAAGCAAAACAAAAAACCCCAAACTAGTCCAAAACAATGCAGATAAAACAAATGAGGCAGTAGAGGGTCTGGAAAAACAAGGAACCACAATCCAAAATATGAAGTTGAATGTTTCAGTTGTTGTCAGAATGATGGAAGGACACATGAATAGAGTTGAAGAGATGGAACATGCTGTTGTAGTGTTGTTGTTGTTGTTATGTGCCACCTATTCACCTGCAACTCATAGCAACCCTATGTACAACAGCCCTAAACTCTGCCCTATCCTGTGCCAATCTCACCATCTCCAACACAACTAGCCCCATTACACTAGGTACTGAATCATTTCCATCTCACTGAGGGTCTTCCTCTCCTGCGCTGTTCCTCCACCCTCCCAAGCATGATGTCCCTCTCAAAGGACTGGTCTCTCTTTGCAATATGTCCAAAGTATGTCAGATGAAGCTACAGGATCCTTGCCTCCAAGGAGCAGCAGGGCCTCACCCTCTCCAGGACAAACCAGTTCATTTTCTTAGCAGTCCCTGGTATATTCAATACTCTCCTCCAGGGGCTGGTTTAACTCAGTTTTCCCCCACCATCCAAACAGGTTGCCTGTCCCAGGAGTATGTGTGCAGAATGAGGTAGCCTGTCCCAGTAAATAGAACGTAGAACAGTAAAATAGAAGATAGAATTGTCAGCACTGATCTGCTAGAGCAAGAAGCAGAATGAAAAGGAAGGAGAAAGGAGAAAACCTAAGAATGGTTTGGGACACCATCAAGAGAAATAACATGCACATTGGTGGAATCCCAAGCAGGAAGAAGCAAGTGAAGACACCAAAAAAGCTGTGAAAAAATTACTAGAAGAAAACTTCCTAGGAATAATGAAAAATGAGAGAATATATATTCAAGAAGCTAAGCAAACACAATATAGAATAGAACCCAAAAGATAAAACACCAAGGCATATCATAGTCAAATTTGCGAAAACCAAAGATAAGGAGAAAATTCTGAAAGCAGCAAAGTGGAAACAAAGAGTAACCTATAAAAGAGAGCAGATAACATTAAGTGCTGATTTCTCAACAGAAATCATGTGACTGCCGCAGTGACCTCTGCCCAGAAGTCCAGTCAGATTGGGAGCTCTCAGTTACTAAAGAGACATGTTCAGAGGACAGAAGCTTTGCTGACCCACAAACAAGCCCAAGTTCCCATTTCCTCAGAACCAACTGAGGAAGCAGAGAAAGAAGATCTTAGGGTCCAGCTGAAGCAGCACCATCCTTCCAGCCCTCTTCCTGGCAGCAAAGCCCCCAAGCGACCAAAGATCAAGGTATCCCTTATCTCCCAAGGAGATGCAGCTGGAGGGCCATCTGCCCCTTCCCAGGGAGGAGCCTCAGAAGTCTCTGGAGGGAAGCCCATCACCATGACCCTGGGCCAAGCTTCAGCAGGGGCCAAGGAGCTCACGGGCCTTCTCGCCTCAGCCAAATCAAGTACATCTTCTGAAGGGGTCCTTTCAGCCAGCCCGGCCTCCTCAGTGGTCTCCAGCAGCACTGCACCTCGTGCCTTGCACACACTCCAGAGCCGCTTGGTGGCAACCTCGCCTGGCAGCTCCCTCCCAGGGGCCACCTCAGCCAGCAGCCTTCTCCAGGGTCTCAGCTTCAGCCTGCAGGATATCAACAGCAAGACCTCTGGCCTCCCAGCAAGTCCCTCCCCAGGGCCAGCCCCACAGGCCACCGGGATGAAGTTACCCACTCCTATGCAGAGCCTGGGCACCATCACCACAGGCACCAGCACCATTGTCCGCACCATCCCTGTGGCCACCAGTCTGTCCTCATTAGCTGCTACTCCCAGTGGGAAGCCGACAGCCATCCACCAGCTGCTGACCAATGGGGGCCTCGCTAAGCTGGCAAGCAGCCTTCCAGGCCTGGCTCAGATCTCTAACCAAGCATCAGGTTTAAAGGTTCCAACCACCATCACACTGACGTTACGTGGCCAGCCGAGCAGAATCACCACCTTGAGCCCCATGGGCTCAGGAGCAGCCCTGTCAGAGGATCCCCCCGCCCAAGTTCTGCCCTCCACTTCACAGCGCCTGCCTCCAGGACCCTGAATGAAGATGCCGTGGGATCCGTCTCTGCCAAGTCAGTGCTGGCTGCCTCGTGGGTGCTGTTGGTGTGGGTACCGTCTGCCAAACTGTCTGCCGTCTGAAATCCAGACAGTCATTCTCGCCTCAGGGCCACTGGTAATCCAGATAGGACCTCTGGGTATTAGGATACTTTCAGGCTAGGTTATGTGGCACCAACATAGGAGCAGAGTCTTCCAGGATCTACAAAACTATCCCCAGAGCCCCCAGTTTCCTCAGCAAATCTGGCTGTGTGTGGACCCAAGGCACTTCTTTCTTGCCATTTGTTGTGATTTCACCCACATGTCAGTTGATAAAGGAGTGGTCTCTGTTGCCTGCTGGACCAAGTTAGGAGGAACATTCACGGGGGACGGGTGATATGGACTGAGGACACAGCTCACTCAGCCTGGTCTACTGGCCAGAAGTTCAGTCCAGAAGGCTTGGTTTGGACCACTGTTGCCTTCATTTTCAGCAGCCCTGAGAGATTGGGCCCTGTTAAAAGAGTATATCAGTACTCAGCAGTCTGCTGAGATGGGAGCTTCCATTGTTCAAAGCCATCATTTGGTCAGTTTTATAATAAAGACAGAGAACTGAGTATAATCTCATAACCCCTTTGGCCATTCTTGGTGTTGGGAGCAGCAATGCCAGAATGTAAAAACACAGTCCTTTCTTTTTATCCCCCCTCACCGTACACACATTGGACAATTCCTGTAACAGGACCTTTAGGTCCAGAACAGCCAAAGAAGAGAAATGGAGCAATAAATGATGCGGTTCAAAAGAAAAAAAAAAAGACAGTGGAATGATATATATCAAACACTCAAAGAACACAGCTGTCAATCAAGAATACTGTACCCAACTAAATTGTCCATCAAATATGGAAAAGAGATCAAGATCTTCCCAGAAAACAGAACCTATGAGAGCTTGTAAAAACAAGACCAGCATTGCAGGAAACACTGCGGGACTTCCTATTTACAGAGGTGCCACAGAAAGCAGTATGGACCAAAGTAACTAGCTTCAACAACAAAAAGAACTCAACAAAATGATAGCAATAAAATACCGCCTCTCAATAATCACCCTGAATGTGAATGGTTTAAATGTACCATTGAAGAGAAAAAGAGTAGCAGATTGGGAAAAAAAACCCCAAAATCCATCAGTATGTTGTCTACAAGAGATACACCTCAAAAATTAAGATAAAGAAAGACTAAAAAGATGGGAAAAAATATACCAAGCAAATGGCAATCAAACAAAAGGAAGATTAGTGATATTAATCTCTGATAAAATAAATTTCAATGCAAAAACCATTGCAAAGGAAAAGAAAAATCAAAACATAATGCTTAAAGGGTTAATCAAACAAGAAGGCATAACAATAATAAATGTCTATGCCCCAAATAAAAGAACTGCAAAATATGTAAAATAAACATTGGCAAAATTGAAAAAGGAAATAGACAACACTAATATAGTAGTTGGAGATTTCAATACAACACTCTCAAGAAAAGAGAGAACAACCAGAAAGAAACGTAACAAAGATGCTGAATTAAACCACGCAATAAACCAACTCGATCTCATAGATCGTAGGCTAATATGCCCCCAAAAAGCAAAGTACACTTTCTTCTCCAATGTACATGGAACGTTCTCAAAAATAGGTCACATGTTAGGTCACAAGGCAAGCATCAATAAATTAAAAAACATAGAAACAATACAAAGCATCTTCTCAGACCACAATGCTACAAAATTAGTAATTAATAACTAGAGGACAAAGGGGAAAAAAACAAACATACACTTGGAAGCTGAACGACACCTTGCCTGAACATGAGTGGGTACTAGAAGAAATAAAAAATAAAATTAAAAAGTTTCTTGAAACAAATTACAATGAAAATACCACTTACCAAAACCTCAGGGAAAATCAGCCAAAGCAGTAATTAGAAGTCAATTTATAGCAATAAGCAAACACATCAAAAGGAAGGGAAAAAAATGACCACTGACTCTCTAACTCAACATCTCCAACAAATTTAAAAAGAACAAGGAAACCTGACACCCTCTAAAAAGCTGAAATTATAAAAAAATTAGAGATAAAACAAATAAAATAGAAAAACAGAAAACCATTTAAACCATCAACAAAACTAGGAGTTGATTCTTTGAAAAGATTAATAAAATTGACAAACCACCAGCAAAACTAACAAAGGCAAAGAAGGAAAAGATGCAAATGATCTGAATGAAAGATGAAATGTGCAACCTCACAACAGAACCAACTAGAATTAAAAGGCTAACACTAGAATATTATGGAAAAACTATACTCAAACAAATATGAAAACCTAGAAGAAATGGATACTTAGAAATTAGCAACCTATCTAAATTGACACAAACTAAAACTGAACACCCGAACAGACCCATTACAAAAGAAGAAGTTAAAAATGTAATAAAACAACTTCCAGCAAAAAACAACAAAAAAAACCCAAACAAACAAAAAAAAAAACAAAAAAAACCTGCTGGACCAGATAAGTTTACAAGTGAATTTTATCAAACATTCAGAGAAAAACTGTCACCAATTTTACATAAAGTATTTCAGAAAATAGGAAAAAAAATGGAATTTTTTCCAGATTCAGAAGCACACATATCCTTGATACCAAAGCTAGGTAAAGACACCAATAAAATAAAAAACTACAGGCCAATATTTCTCATGAACATAGATGCAAAAACCCTGAATAAAATACTGGCCAATAGAATCCAATGATACATAAAAAAAATGTAATTCACAATGACCAAGTGGAATTTATAACAGATATGCAAGGATGGTTTAACACAAGAAAAACAATCAATGTAGTTCATCACATAAACAAAGCAAAGAATAAGAACCACATGATCCTATTAATTGATGCAGAAAATGCCCTTGACAAAATCCAATACCTTTTCCTGATTAAAACACTCAACCAAATAAAATTAGAGGGGAATTTCTTCAATATAGTAAAAAATATATACGCAAACTCGAGAGCCAACACTGTTCTCAATGGAGAGAGATTAAAGGCATTCCCTTTGAGAACAGGAACTAGGCAAGGACACCCTCTATTACCTCTCCTATTCGATATTGTATTGGAAGTCTTAGTGATAGCAATAAGACAAGGGAAAGAAAAAGAGTATCCAAGTTGGAAAGAGAAGGGAAAATTAACTCTCTATGTAGATATGATAATATACATAGAAAACACTAAAGACTCAGCAAGAAAATGACTGCACATAGTTGACCAGTTCAGCAAAGTGGCAGGATACAACATCAACATACAAAAATCAATTGGATTTCTCTACAGTTACAAAGAGAATATAGAACTGGAGCTAAGAAAAACAATACCCTTTACAACAGCTAATCGCAAGATTAAAAACTTAGGAATAAATCTAACCAGAAGCACAAAGGATCTATTAAAAGAAAATTACAAAATATTACTACAAGAAACAAAAAAAATAGGGGAGGGTGGGTAGGGAGAAAAGTGCAACAGTTAATGAATTGAAATCCAAAGTGTCTGTAAACTTTCTTTAAAATCAATTTTAAAAAAGAAACAAAAAGAGACCTGGAGAAATGGAAGAATATATTTTGTTTATGGATAGGAAGACACAATAATGTAAAAATTACAATAATATCAAAGGCAATTTACACATTTAATGCAATCCCAATACAAATATATGATTAGGTATTATTGTCATGACAAGGGTCCAGAATGAAATCTACACAGTGAAGTGGACTGGGGTGAGGCATGGGGGGATTGTATAACAATAAAAGTTGAGGTTTTTGGTGTGATTTTTTTTTAACTTTTCAAAGAGAAAAGCAAACTGGGGGAGGGATAGGAAGGGAGGAATTGTGCAAATATGAATGAATGGAAATTCAAAGTCTTTATAAATTTTCTTTAAAATAAATTAAAAGACCAAAGCAAAACAACAGCAACAACAAAAACAAAAAAAAAAAACATAACACAAAAGCCCTCAGACAGCAACTTTATATTTGGATCTTACCAGACAGACCACATAGGAATCAGAATGATTATATCTGTGGAAGAAATCATTTTAGAAGCTCATTATCAGCATTCAAACCAGGCCAGATGCTGATTGTGGAACAGACCATCAATTACACATGTGCAAGTTCAAACTAAAGCTGAAGACAATGAAAACAAGTCCATGAGGACCAAAATATTAATTTAATTCTATCTCAACTGAATTTGATGAATACCACTATCATTTAGATATATGCACCAATAACCAGAGCCAAATAAGAGGATATAGAAGATTTTTACCAACTTTTACAATTGGAGATTGATCGAACATGCAATCAAGATGCATTGATAATAACAGGTGACTGGAATGCAAAAGTCGGGAACAGAGAAGAAAATTCAGTAGTTGGAAAACATGGACTTGGTGACAGAAATGGAGCTGGAGAAAGAATGATCGAATTTTGCACAATCAATGACTTACTCAAAGCAAATACATTTTTTAAGAGACATAAACGCAGGTTATATACTTGGGTTTCATCTGATGGTATGCATAGGAATCAGATCGATTACATCTGTGGAAAGAACCACTGGAGAAGCTCAATATCAGCTGTGAAAACTAGGCCAGGAGCAGATTGTGGAACAGACCACCAACTACTCATATGCAA